AAACACAAAAAACCCACAAAATACTAAAACCAAAACCAAAATCATAAAACCAAAGCCAAACTGAAACCAAAAAACAAAATAAAATGAATATTCAGTGGAGAGGTAGAAAAGACAATGGAGCAAAGTGTCGCTTTCTTTTTTAAATTATTTTTCTTTTAAATTTTCTTTTGGTGTGCTGCAAGGGTGAAGGTTGGACAGGGAATGACTGGGAAAGGAATAGGATTGGGGGGCATAATGTGAAATTTCCAAAAAAATCAATAAAAATAAGTTAATAATAACAATAATCATTAAAGAGTAGGGATAGGGAGATAACTCATTGAATAAAACACTTCCTGAACAAATATGAGGACCCAAGTCAAATCACCAAACTCAAATGAAAAGTAGGCACTATAGCTTTCATCTCTAATCTCAGTGTTCTATGGCAAAATGGCAGGTGGAGAGTGGACAATCCTTGGAAACATACGGACTAATTAGTCTGGCTGCCCAGTGGTGATCAACGTAAGAGACTATGGGAACCCAAAAATGTGAGCCTATTCCACTTGTCTGAAGGTCAGAAAATTTGAGCTTATTTTTTTTGCTCTTTCAAAGTTGTTTACAATATGTGTGGCTACAAAACAAGATATCCTGACCTAGGGTGTGCTTACTTGGTGTTTTAGATATTAAGATGGCCCATAGAGATGGATCTGATTCACCCTGACCCAAGGCCAGAGAATTCAACCATATTTCTGCTCCTTATTTTGAAATAGGAGGTTTGACTTAGGGAGTGGCTGCCTACAGGATACTTGGTCTAGGGTGTGTTTACCACCACAGACATCAAACAGATTTTCTCATGAATTAATGGCTTTATGTCTCAAGTATCGGAACAAGTAATTGTTCTGGTTGTCCTTTGTGTCATATTAAAGTAGTCTTTTGCTTTCTTTCCCCCTTTTGTATTAGGATATAAAAGTGTATGAAAATTTTCATAATTTTTAGTATGAAAAACAAATAAAATAAATAAAAAAAATAGGTGAACTCAGTTCAGGCACCCTCTCCTCTGCTGCCCAAGGAACAATCTGGGGACCTCTCCTTGGACCTGGGAACTCCTCAAGAGTCAAGTTTCTTGCAAACCCTAAAATGGCTCCCTTAAGTAAGATATTTACTTCCCTGCTCCAATATCCACCCTTCCTCCATCCCACCCATCTCATCCCCCCAAACTCTTCTGAATCCTCCCCTTCTCCCTTTTCTCTACCCATCTCCCCTTACATCCACTCCCCACACCCCCGTGCACCCAAGTTTTGCCTGGCAATCTTGTCTACTTCCAATATCCAAGAGGATAAATATATAATTTTCTTTGGGTTCACCTTCTTATTTAACTTCTCTAGGATCACTAATGATAGGCTCAATGTCCTTTAATTATGGCTAGAATCCACTTATGAGTGAATACATATTCTTCTTTTTGGGTCTGGGTTACCTCACTCAGTAAAGCATTTTCTATTTCCATCCATTTGCATCCAAAATTCAAGATGTAATTGTTTTTTTTTTTTTTTACCGCTGAGTAAAACTCCAATGTGTATATGTTCCACACCTTTATTAACCATTCTTCTATTGAGGGGCACCTAGGTTGTTTCCAGGTTCTGGCTATTACAAATAGTGCTGCTATGAACATAGTTGAACAAATGCTTTTATAGTATGATAAGGCATCTTTTGGGTATATTCCCAAGAGTGGAATTTCTGGGTCCTGAGGTAGGTTGACTCCCAGTTTCCCGAGAAACCACCACACTGTTTTCCAAAGTGACTGCACAAGTTTGCATTCCCACCAACAATGGATGAGTGTTCCCCTCTCTCCACATCCTCTCCAGCATAGGCTATCATTGGTGTTTTTGACTTTAGCTAATCTGACCGGTGTAAAATGGTATCTCAAAGTTGTTTTGATTTTCATTTCCCTGATGGCTAAGAAGGTTGAGCATGACCTTGAGTGTCTTTTGGCCATTCGAATTTCTTCTGTTGAGAATTCTCTGTTCAGTTCAGTACCCCATTTTTTAATTGGGTTAATTAGAGTTTTAGTGTCTAGTTTCTTGAGTTCTTTGTATATTTTGGAGATCAGACCTTTGTCTGATGAGGGTTTGGTGAAGATCTTCTCCCAATCAGTAGGTTGCTTTCTTGACTTAATGACAAGTGTCCTTTGCTTTATAGAAGCTTCTCAGTTTCAGAACTCAGAATTTAGCATTCAGTATTTGCTGAGTACCCTCCGGGCACTATTCTATGGCTCTGCGTTTCTTATCTCTGTTCCTCCTACCTAACATTTCTAATTCTCAAACCCCTACCCTGGAACATACGAACCCACTGAAGCTAGGATTGTGGCAGAAGTCACTCCAAAAAGGTGGATTCTGACGAGAGAGCCTATCTTAGTGAAAGGAGAAAACTGGCACCAAACTTGTCCTCTGACCCTCCAGACATTTTGCTATGATGTAAACACACTTGTGCACACATATGAACAAACACACATGTATACACACATACACATGCAGAAAAAGAATAAAAATTATTTTCTATAATACACTATTTTATTTAAATTTGACTCAAATATATTTAAACCATTGCAGATGAAGACAACAGAGAGATGGGATTTGCTCTTCTCTGGGCAGTGAAAGTAGCAGCTAGATGGAGACTTGAAATTTTTCAAGAAAAAAAAAAAACCTAGTGAATCCCAGAAAGGCAAAAACATTAGAAGCTATAGTATTTAGCTATATAAAATATAAAGTTATACAATACAATAAGGATAATACAAATAGCAAGTTTAAATAATTTAAATGTTTTTCCAGAGAAGGCAACCTATTAATTTCTTAGCGTACATATAGGAGTGTCTTATAAAGAATTTTATAGTGGAAATTCTTTAAATAAATAAATAAGGAAAAAAATTTTAAAAAAAGAATTTTAAAAATATGAACATCCCTAAGACTCCTACGTTTTGAAGCCTAACTCTTGCCCACTGCAGCTATAGTCACTATTTGCAAAGTTCTTGGCTTATCCATGCTAGGACTTCTAGTTTAAGTCTGCATGAAAATGAAGAAAAGAATATCAAGGTGATTTGATCTTCAAAACCAAGGCGTGACCTTAGCAGGGTAGATGGTAGATGTTACCATTCCTATTTAAATATGAGGAGAGGAAATAACACCAGTGGGGTTTATTTTCATTTTAATTTTAATCCTACTCACTAATTAATGCTAAGAGTTAAACTTACCCCAAACTTCTGAATTCAGATTATAATAATCTCCTACAATGAAATAATGCTGGTTTCGGATGTCATGTTCATTTCCAAGTCCTCTTTCCTCCCTCCCTCATTCCTATCTTCCCTTCTCCCTTATCTTATTTATTTCTTAATTATTGAGCTGCTTTCTTTGCATATGTACTTGGAGTAAATGAATTAACCAAAGGAATTGCTTCATAGGATACAATCTAAGGAAAGACACACACACACACACACACCTTGGAGAGAGAGACAGAGAGACAGAGAGACAGAGAGAGAGTAGGCAGAGTCAGGGAGAAACCATGTAGCCTCCCGTAGGAGACAGATGCCTCCGCTGGAACCTTTCCGGTAAGCCACAGCCACATGGCAATACACAGATTAATGGAGATGGGTTAGTTTAGGATATAAGAACTAGCTAAAAATATACTTAAGCTATTGGCCAAATAGTATTGCAAATAATATAGTTTCTGTGTGATTATCTTTGAGTCAGGGTGGTCGGGAAATGAATAAAAGGAATAACCTTTTAACAAAACAGAAGAGTGCCTGCATCCTCATCAGGAATGAGGCAGAGCCTCATCCTGGACTAAGTGTCAATCACTGCTAGGAATGAAACAGCTCTCAAGGTGGAGGTGGAGTACAATTTCAGAAGCTCTTTCTCTGGACTGCTCACAAGAGCTGCACTTCCCAAAGAGATTCTGGACAGGGGGTATTATTAATTTGGTAGGGGGAACACTTGACAACTTATACTATTTTGAATACATAAACAGCACTGCCCCAAATAGTCTTTGGTCTTTAGGAAAAGAACTCTGAAGTGCACGAGTTGTGCTTGCCAGGTATTCGGTCTTTTCTTGGCTGGTCCCTTGACAGCCACCAGGCATGCATAAGCTTTCCCAGGCACATTCTGATTCACACTGTAATGGGGTCCCACGTGCTAGGCAAACACTGTAATCAACAGTTTAAAAAGAATAAATTAACTCTAAGTTTTCTGTATTCTGATTTCCTGGGGATACCTGGAACAGTTTAATGATCAGAGGGGTTTGTGTTTATCTCAAATAAGTATTTATTCAAGCATGACTTCAGATTGTAAATATCAGATTTAATTGTACCACTATTTCTTCTGTTTTCCTTTTAATTGTTAGTTTAGCAACACAGCACTCTTCTTAAAATTTTTTAGTAAAGTACGAGGACACAAACCTTACCAAAGTTTAATATTAACTTGGATACGCTGTCTCAGTGTTGAACCTTAGTAAGGACACTTGCTGACTCTCATCAGATGTGTGTTGATGGCGGCTTTGTGACTTGAATTTTATGTTTTCACGTTTGTGGTGGGGACTGGGGATGCTGAGAACTGAACCTGATTCCTCCCTCATGCTAACCACTGAGACCCATCCAGAGCTCTTCTTTACTTCCCACCCACATTTCTTCAGTTTCTACAACAAATGGTAGGAAAGGCACAAGAGGAGTTCCAGATTCGGTCACAGTCGCTATCCAGTGTAAACAATCAAATAAACAAAGCTCCAGACTAGCCACACCTTTGTGTGTAACTGGACCCTCCCAGGAACTCTCTGGGAGATGCTCTGTTTATACCCATTGCACAGTGTCCTTGCCCATCAGTCTTCCAAAGAGGCCTGAGGTTGGGCCCATGGGTCTTGCTGCTGGTGCCACCACTATACTATCTGAAGAAACTGGCCTAGAAGGTATGAATTCTGGGTGAAAAAAGGCAGGATTCCATAGGTAGAAACCAAATGGAAAGTAAGAAATGAGGGACACTGACCATTTAGAGAAACCAGCGGCAGAATGTAGCCAGTGAGAGGCCGAGATGAAGTGGTGCTCCGTCGTGCCCATAGGACCCTGAAGGGATGAGCAAATGCACAATGACGATTTTAAAGTCTGGATGTCTATCATTCAATGTCAGGAGCATTTAGAATTACATTTTATTACTTTCAGCTTTAAAGAGGGCTCTTTACAGGCAAAAGTGTTTCAGAGTGGCTGCAGATGACCCAGTAATTTATGACGAGTGGGTGAGTGAGTGTGTCCTTGCGGGTTACTGTGTCCACGGCCCATTGAGTGCTGCTCGTCACCCCGTCCTCCTTATGACACCTGGCGACTGAGCCATGTGACCAGTGCTCTGCCAGTCCCCTGGGATCTTAGTTACCACCACCTTTTCTCTGACCCAACAGGTGCCCTCTCTCTTTATCCCATTAGTTTCAGGAAGCATTTAGTTGCTGCTTTCTCATCATAGAACCAAAAACAACGCATACATGACCATAGGACCCTGGGGCTGCCTAGATATCTGCCCGAGTACTGACAACACATGCACGGCCATAGGACCCTGGAACTGGCGAGGGGGTGCCGGAAATGCTAGCATTCTTCTTTTTTGTTCGTTATAAAAAGTGAGTTAGGGATGGCAAGAGAGGGTAGGGAATGAGGGCACGGGGTTCTTGGGACTGCTTTCTGCTGACCTTGAGGCATTACGTTTTGGGGAACCTGAGAAAGCAGGCGTGCTGGCCACGTTCTGGAGTGTCTGGTTGCCTCACCACTGCCCAGGCTCTGGGGAACCATCCAGTGCAGTCTGGACCTGGAAGATGCTGGCAGGTCTGAATATAAAGTTAAGTTTAGGGAAATTTTTTTTTCTTCTTAAGTCCTGGTAATTGAGGGAGGGGTTCTCAAGACCAGGGAAAGCTAGAATGGTACTTACCTAGAGATCTGACATGTTTGGGAGAATCCAAGTCGACTCCCTGGAGCTGACAGGAATTTTTCTGAGTTTGTGAAAGTTAAGTTTTAGAACATTAACATCCCCATTGTTTACAATCTATACTGAAATTTGTATTGTAGAAACAAAAGTGCACTCATGCCAGAAATGATGCTGGTCGGAAGCATTCACACTCTGTCTTCTACCTAGGAAACTGTGACAGATGTTTTTAGCACAACGAAAAACACTTTTTAAGTCTATAAATAGAAAACAACCAAAGGGAATTTAAAATCCTCATCTTATAGCTGTGAGTGTAAAGTGATCGTATGGTGTTCAGTAAGCACTCTGCCAGAACGAGATTAACAGCTTATCAGAATTCTACTGGGTAGCGTAAATTATGGACAGTAACATAACGACAAAGAAGCATCTGGAATATGTTTCATTCTTTTATAGATCTCACATCACTTTTCCCTTATCACCAATTAAGCTTTCTTATCTTCACACAAACAAACCTTAAAGCACCTGTGCCTTCCCCATCATCATGACGTCACCTTAGCACTCAGGAGACCCAGGTGGTTGATTGCTGAGGGCAGTCAGTAGTAAGAAGTTACACTGAAATCTGTTCTGTGAGTCTCCTTTCTGAGTTTGGGGGTGTGAATATCTCTGGGATGTTATTGTTTCTTACTGCCTGGGCATGTTTAATAGTCTTTATGCCTCCAACCCTGTGGCTAATGGGTGTTAGTCCTATAACAACAGCTAATTAGTTTAATTAGGAATTTTGAATATGTTATTAGAGGTACTTAGGGAGGAAACTGATGAAGCAGGGTGTGATTAGTAGAGATAGGAGAACGTGGAGAGGGGTCAGGAAAGAAAGCACATAGCATTCTCAGTTTGGTAAAGTTGAGTATGACTGTGGGGTGAAGCCTCATTCTTCTGGAATTGGAGACAAAGCAGTTGATCTCAGTGTCCACTGGAACTTAAGGGAGCATGGTCCTGTTGGGGTTGCTGTGTATGAAGAAATATTATCTTGAGGTGGAGGAGGGGATAGGGTTTGAGATGGGATACATAAATCCAATGAAGGAGACCATTAAGCTTAGTAACTATGGGGACTATAAGAATTACTTTGAAGGCACCCTGCCATTTAGGGGAAAGGGGTGAGGGGTATTGGTCTTGAGAAGAGAGAAGGACCTGATCCCTGATGTTGACTCCGGATGAACAGGGATTGGTGCATGGCTGGGATAGGGAGTCAGTAAAGTTCCATAGGAGGGAATGGAGATGACAGAGTAGGTGTGTGGGGGGGTGACTAGGCAATCAAGGAGGAGGGAAGGTTTGGATGGGAGGTCAGTAGTTAGAAGTGGCCTCCCATGCAGGAGGTCAAATGGCACAACTGATGGGGGTTGCCTGAAAAGAGGGGTGGCTGAAAAGAGGCAGAGGCCAGAGCTTTACCTCGTTGAGGTGAAGCTTCTGTGACAGGAATGTGTTTTAGAGAGCAGTTAGTTCATTCTCTTCCCTGAGGACTGAGGATGATAGGAGATATGAAAATGACAAGTGCTAAAGCCACAACGTCATTCTAATTAGTCAGCCATCTTTTTCATGCGGTCAACCCTTAGGAGTCAGAGACTCTGTTTTGGAGGAATAAACAGAGGTGCAGAGCATATTGGTGTTATTGCCTTGTGAACAAAGTGGCTGCTTTTTGCTGTAGATTTTTTTTTGCTGTAGCTAACTCCCCTTCTGTTACAAATTTGGGATTTATCTCCCACAGTTCAGCACTATTTGAGCTATGTATGAAGACAGTCACACAGCCAAGGAACCTGCTTCCCACTACCAGGTCTTTGCTCCTCTCTGCTATGTAAACAGAGATCTGCCTTCCTGCTATGATCTTTATTGACAGGCATTTGGTCAGTGTTTAGGGTCCAGGAAAAAAGCATTCTACTTAAGACATTCCCAGATGTCCAAGGACACAGAATTACTACTTGCCCAAAGCTGTTAATTCATAGCAGCTCACATAGATAGAAAAAATAAGCAAGCCTTGGTTTTACCTCACTTATAGATAAGAAAAGTGATGGCCTAAAACTAGCTTTGCATTAAAAGATTCCTAACTCCTCACCTCACCTTCACCTCAGTTTACTGATGATGTTAGTCCAGGAGATTTACTGCTTACGTCTTACCTTCAGGAAAAATAATTAACCATCTACCCACAGCCCAGAGGAGGACAAACCTCCATGGGTGCCTCTGATAAGCATCAAGTTTAAGAGCTTGCTAACGTTGAAGCTTGCTAACATTTGACAAATGATGCTAATCGATCAAGGGGCCATAAACTTCCCTTGCCTATTTATGTAGGTTGCCTGGTTGTGGGCCTATACAGCTGGGTAAGAACAAAAAGAAAAGAAGAGGGAACAGAAGCGAAGGCATCCTAGAAATTATCAGAGATAGAAACATGAAAAAGCAGCAGAAGAAAAAAATATAGCAAAGAATTTAATTGGAATTGAAATTAGGATTGAGACAGAGAATTAGAGATAAGAGATTATAGACAGGACAGAAGGACTAGAATACAGTTCAAGGAAGAAAGAATAATCGAGAGACATAAGTAGAAAGAACGTGCTGTGACTAGATTTCGTAATCCTCAGATTTCAGTTCCTTTTGTTTATTGTGGTATCTTTATTTTGAACCCTGATTTAGCCAAAAGATGCTGACACCTTTATCTAGTCTTTGGGAGATCTGGGATGTGAATTGAGGACCACTGTCTGACTGGAGGGAGGTGGTGATTCAGAATCAGGGAATAATCTCTCAGAGAAGAGGGTCAGAGACTGTGTGAGCCCTTTTGTTAGTGGTGGGGAATACTTCCACCAAGCCTGAGAAAATGCTCACAGGAGATACTTAACTCATCTGACTATGGGCATGTGGGTAAAGCCAAGTTACCAGTCAGTCCCTGGGAGCAAGGCCCTGGCCTGGTGGGTTGAAAAGGGGGGACTGTGATATTTTGAGTTAGGGTCGAACATCTGACAAATTTTAAAAGAGGCAATAATAGTTCTTAAGAAGTGCAAATCCTCAGGGATGGGCTGGAGTTGGGCCTTGAGAAAACGAGACAGAGCCCGGCTGTTAGGATGAAAGAGCTGGTGTAGACAGGACAGAATTTGTCAAGAGTCAGGGGGTGATTGTAGTGATGTGGGTTGTAGTGCATGGACTCCCTGAGTGAGTGAGGTGAGTCTGGGCCTCAAAGGGCTGCTACGCTAGCTGCCTCGCCAGCTCGATTGCACCCTTTAGGTGTGTTAGAGCTTTCAGTCTGATGCGACCAGCAGTGAGTAAGTAATTCTTATAGCTTTGGGGAGATGGGGGGGCTTTTTAGTATGGCTATAATTTGACCTGAGTTAGTTATGGATCCTCCTTTTGTTGTAAGTAGCCCATGTTCTTTCCAGATGGCAGTGTGGGACAGAAGAATATGAAAGGCATATTTGGAGTCTGTGTAAATGTTTAAGCATTGTCTGGTTGTGTCAATTGGAAGGCACAGGTGAGAGGGGTTAGCAGTGTGGGTGGGGACGGCCTGTGCTTCCACTGCCCCAGCATCTGACACTATGGCATAGCCTACTTTTTAGGTCCCCTCATGTAAAAAGGAGCTGCCATCTGTGTACCAGGTATAGGTGGCCTGAGGCAGTGTGCCTCCTGTATGTGTGAGGGATGGGGTAGAAGTTCCTCCAGGGTTTCAGTGCAAGAATGAGATGGGGAGTGGTTAGCGGTGGTGGAGGAAAGAGATTTGAGATATAGAGGACTAGGCAAGTTTGTAAAGTAAATGCAACATCTTCTACTATTGAAAGAACCCAGGAAGGAGGTAGAACTTGTAAGCATTTGTAAGTTAAGAGATGGAACAGGTTGTGGGAGGAGTAGATAGTGGTGAGTGACTCAAAGGTTATTATTATTTTTGTTTGTTTGTTTTATGAATGAGGAACTCAGCAGCTGCTAAAGCACAGATGCAGGGTGGCCATCCCGGGGTGGTAAGATCTAATGTTTTCATCAAGTATGCTACAGAGGCAAAGGAAGATCCCAGCTTTTTCTGTTACCTAGAGGGAGAAGGAGTGAGTTTGGTTTGGGAGATGAAGGGCTGAAGCCTTGAGGAGAGCCTGTTGGAGCTTCTGAAAAGCTTTAGTAATGGGATTGAGGAGGGGTTCATGTGGTGGGGGGAGATGATGCTGCCTTATATAAGGGTTGAACAAGAAGGGAGAAAGAGGGGATCCAGGACTGTAAGAAGTCAGCCAGTACTAGAAGTGATAAAATTTCCTCTTTAGTAGAGGAGATTGAATTAGGTGTTTTCTATCCAAAGTAATACATTTTTCATTTGGGTTAATGGTTCATCCCAAAGAAGTGACCTGAGGAGAGGACAGTAGGACTTTGGAATGTGGGACTCTATAGCCCTGGCTGGACAAGGAATTTAGAAGAACAGAGGTGTTAGTTTGGCTAATTTGTAGAGATGGGCTGCAAAGGAGAATATCATGAAAATGGTATGAATTTAGGCATAGACAAAGAGAATAGATCAAAAGGTAGGACCTGGCTAAATAGGTATGGGCTGTTACAGAACCTCTAAGGTAGGACAATCTAGGTGTGCTCTGTGGAGAGGTGAGTGCCAGGGTTAGTCCAGGTGAAAGCAAAAATATTTTGAGACTGAGTGCTAGGGAGACAGAGAAGAAAGCATCCTTGAGGTCCAGGATTGAGAAATGAGAGGTCCCTGAAAGGATAGTGGAAAGAAGGGTATAGGGATTAGGCACCATGGGATAGAGGGGGACCAATTGCAGAATTAACGAGCCAGAGGTCTTTAACCAGGTGACAGTTTCTGTTAGGTTTCTTAACTGCAAATATAGGGGTGTTAAAAGGAAAAGATCTAGGAGGTCAGTGATGGTAGGATTAAGTCCCTTAAGGCTCTGGAGTGAAAGTGGGGACTGGGCTTGAGTAAATGTACCGTTAGGGTCCTGTAATTGGATGATAACCAGGGAATTGTGTCTAGCAACAGAAGGGTTTTGGGTGTCCCAGACTTAGCGGTCCACCTGGGAGGCCAGCAGAGGAAATGACATGTTGGAACCAGTAGGGTGAGTGGCTAGGAGGAGGAGAGGGACGGCTGGTGAGTCTGGGGTCAGGTGAATGGGGGTTGCAAAAGAAATAGAAGCTCCCACTTTGACTGAAAGATCCCTTGACAGTAAGGCTACTGGAGAAGGTTTGGAGCTGATGTAAAAGGAGGCATGAACATAAGGCAACTCCTTCTATCTACTCACCCACTGGCAGAAGTTAGAAAGGGCCCACAAAATATCAGGGTCTAAAGAGCCATTAGGCAGTCATTTTGACTGGTTATTTAAGGCTTATTTAGGCCATGTCTGAGTGTAAAGGTGGTTGAGTTTAGAAGCTTTTAAATAGGGCATTAAGTGTAAGCAGTTTGAGGTTTTCTAAAAGACATCCCAGAGGAGATGTTGGGCTTATGTTGCTAGGCGAATTACCCATGACTGAGACAGGTAAATAGGATCCAATGGTTTAGAATTTCTAGCTTCCCAGAAATGAAGTGAGGATCGATTTTTGGGAAGGCACAAGCTGATCAGTGATTCATCAAACACAGCGCAGGGGCCAGGGCTGAGCCTGAAGGATATAGGGTCTGAGAGACCTGTGAGTTGTCCAATTACAGACAGATAGGTCCGAGAGGCAAAACAAACAAACAAAAAACAAACATTGTTGAGAAACAAGGCCTCACTCATAGGGAATGGGCAGAGGTGCTTGTCAGCGAAGGGGACCAGTTACAGCATTGAAGATGGTAGCTGGGGTTTCCCCCGCAGCCAAGGACACCAGTGTGGCACTGGGTGATCTATGGTCAGTTCTATGGGTCCACGGAAGCATTTACTCACTCCAGGATAAGGGAGACTCACCAATCGTACACACTGACGTTGTGTAGAGGAGCCCAGGCAGGGGTCGAGTAGTTGGAAAGTGGACTGTTGTAGCTCATCTAGGGTCTCGGCGAGTCTCAGAGTACCTGGAGTGCCTGCCACCCAATGTTTTAGCCTAGTGGTGGTGATGATGAACCACAATGTACAACAAACCTACGAGGAAGTTTATTGATGGGGGTGGAAAGTGAGGGGTTTATGGAGGCCTGCCTCGGAAAACAAAAGTGGTGGAGAGAGAGGAAAAAAAAAGGCTGTGCTTGCTTTTAAACGGCCTTTGGAGCTCGTGCACAGAGACTTATGCAGCCGTGTAACAGATGTCCATAGGTTACGTAGTAACATTCGGCTCTAGGTCCCTGGGCTGACTAAGTATTTGCCTGAATACTGACAATGCATGCATAGCTTTAGGACCCTGGGGCTGGCTAGATATTTGCCTGAGTACTGACAACACATGCTTGGCCTTAGGACTCTTGGGGTGGCTAGGTGGTGCTGGAAATGCTAACAGCCATCTCATTAGGCTGATAAATACAATGAAGACGACAATAGCAACAGCAGCAAATAGCAGCAATAAGCCTCTTAAATTCTTTCTGGCACAAAAAAGGGAACAAGAACTTTTTCTTTTCTGTTATTAGCAGAATGTACTGTAGAACACTTTTAGCTATGCATACTTTCTCTCCTACTTTGATTGATATGTAAATATTTTAGAATGGGTAAATAAGCCCTTAGCCAGCTGGCTTCATGGGCATGTGCTTCTCAAGGACCTAAGACCCCTTTTTTTTTCCCCAAACCTTCAAGTATATTTTTATATATTTGCTTCGAATAAACCCTTTTATTTTATAACTATAACCACACACTGAAACTTAGTGTTTTGTGATGTAGTAGGCTCTGGGCGATGTGAAAACAGTGGCGATGGACAGACTCATCGGAATCTTTTTATAAATTATTCTTGTAGAACTTTCTCTTGCTAACATAAATTTCCAGGAAACTGAAGTTCTATGGGAATTAAACATGTAAGACAGTGATTCCAAATTTTAACCACTTTCCTGCCATAGAGACATGAGAATGTCTTTTATTTATTTATTTATTATTTTGGAGAAAGCCCTTGATGACTGCAAATCCCCACCTTGCTTAGAAGCTGGGAACAAGTCCTGGTTTCCTGTCTTCTTGCTGGGAGATTATTTTTCTTCTGCTTTGAGAATTTATGTATAAAAAGTTGTATTTGCCTGACAGTGTGAAAAAAATTAAGATTTCCTTCCTTCTTTCTTTTTCTTTTCGCAGTCTGTTTCCAATGCTGGTTTATCATTGATTTATGTAATGTCTAATCTTCATAAGTTTGATAAATTTCTAGAAATTATTTTGTTATTGATTTCAAGTCTTATTGTATTGTGGTTACATGAGATACATGGAATTATTTCTTTTTTTGTATTTGTTAAGATTATTTTGTATTCTAGTATGTGTGTCTATGTTAGAGAAGCTTGTGGGATGCTCAGTAGAATGTGTATTCTTTGGTGGTTGGAATATTCTGTAGATAACTGTTAGGCCACTATGATGTGTAATATCATTTAATTCTGATGTTTCATTTTAAGATATATGAGAAAGTAGGGTATTGATATCACCTGCTATTATTGAGTTGGGGTTTATCTGTGCCTTAAAGTCCAGTAGCATGTTTTTCATGAAATTGAGTGCACCAGATATGTATGCATGTATGTATGTGTTTAGGATGGTAATGTATTTTTTGTTAATTGTTTCCTTGATTAGAATGAAGTGCCTCTTTCTATCTCTTTTGATTTTTTTTGTATAAGTCTATTTTGTCAGATACTAAAGTAGTGACACCCGCTTGGATTCTGGTCTCATTTGTTTGGGATAGTTTTTTTCATCCTTTCATTTTGTCCTTGAAGATAAAATATATTTCTTGTGGACAACAAAACACCCAATCTTATTTCTAAATCCATCCATTTATCTGTGATGTTTGGTTGGGGAATTGAGGCCATTAAAGGTGTGTGCTAATTACCACAGTTTTGTTCCTTTTCTGCTGTTTTTGGTTTTAGTCCTATTTTGTGTTTCAATAATTATAGCTTCATCAGTTTTCTCTTTGTAGCCTCTTGCCAAAAGTATTGCTTCTAGTGTTCTCTGTGGGCTTGTTTGCTGGACATGAATTCTTTTAGCCTGTCAATACAGTGGAAAGTTTTTCTTTCTCTTCTAAATATGGAAGATAGTTTTCTTGGGATAATGGTATGGATTGACATTTGTGACTATTTAAAACCCTAAGCACATTGTTCCATGTTTGCTGACTTTTAAAGTTTTCAGTGAGGAATCATTCATAGTTCTAATTGTTTTCCACTTATATTTCTTGTGACTTTTCTCTATCAGGTTTCAAGACCTTTCCTTTGTTCTATATATTTAGTGTTTTATCTACCATATGACATGAGTAAATTCTTGTCTTGTCTATTTGGTGTTTACTTTGCTTCTTGTATCTGTATGAGTGTACATTCCCCTAGTCTGGGGAATTTTCCTCTGTCATCTTGTTGAAGAGCTGGTCTGTGCCATTCAGCAGGGGTTTGGATCTTTTCTCTATGTCTAGGATTCATAGGATTTCCCCAGAGTTCTTGCATATTTCTTCTGTATTCTTTAAAGCTTTATCTTAGTTTTTGCTTGAGTGGTCCAATTATTTTACTTTATCCTCACATTGTGATATCCTACCTCCTTGATCCATTCTACAGGTAAGGCTTTCCTGAGTTATATAATTGGTTTGTTGAGCTTTTCAAGCCCATCTTTATTTTAGGTTGAGTTTTCTTCAGTATATCTATCTCCTTGTTGTCTAACCCTTCAAATCCTGGATATCTGATGCGGGAGAATTGTATTCTGTCAATCATATTTTAATAAAACGCTGATTGGCCAGGCAGGCAGTATAGGCAGGAAAGCCAGACAGGAAGTAGGAGTGGAGCAAAGAGACTGGGAGTATTCTGGAAGCAGAAGCTCCCTCTGTACTCCTGTGCAGACCACCTAAGAGGCAACATGTAAACTGACAGCTGAAAAAGGTACCAAGCCATATGGCTAACATAGATAAGAATAATGGGTTAAGATAAGTCATAAGAACTAATAAGTAGTCTGACCTAATGGGCCAATCAGTTTATAACCTTATGGAGTCCTGTGAGTGATTTTCCTTGGGGTATGCTGGTTGTGGGGTACCGGGTGGGACGGAAAACCCAAGCAAACTGGCCCTCATGTTACTTATGGTGCCCAGACATGGATAACTGAATCCACAGAAAGCCTGAGAAAGCTTGGGAAAGAATAGAGTAAAGCATGTTTTGTTGGTAGCAGCAATTTCTCGGGTCTACTTTGCTTGCTAGAGGCAAGCAAGGCTCTCATCTAAGAGAGGCTTCCTGACTCAGCTTTAGCTGCAAAACTTTGTAGCTCCTTTAAGAGGTCCTGCCGTGAAACACTTAAACGGTGTTGATGAAAAGCTGAACGCATGCTTTTCGAGTTTTCAGCAGTAGCAGGAAAAAAGCTGCACTGTTTTAAAATGCCGGCTTTCTGGGCTGTCCTGCCAGGGCAATCTCTGACTCTTTCAGGCAGGCAGTCCGACTGAGTGTGGTCTGTGAGCAGAATGCTGCAGCTTGCTGGCAAGGACCTTGAAACGCCATAGAGTTGTGGCAGTGAACACAGCTCTGGCTGGTACCTCTGCCATGAGTCTGGAAAGCTAAGGAATGAGCTGGATCTAGCTGTCAAAGCCACGGCTTTCCATATTGCTTTGTAAATTAAAGGCTCATGTGGTCAGAAAAAGAGAGATATACAGTAAAGAGAGATTCAAAGATGAATAAAACCTCTAAATGGTTTATAGTGTGTTAAAAATAAATGCAGGATAAAAGTTAAAGTTCTTAAAGTAAAAAGAGAGTAGTTGGGTGTGGTGGTACACACCTTTAATCCCAATGCCTGGGAGGCAGAGGTATATTGACCTCTGTGACTTCAAGGGACAGAGGTAGAGATTGACCTCTGTGACTTCAAGGTGTGGTAGCACACGCCTTTAATCCCAATGCCTGGGAGACAGAGATAGGTCTCTGTGAGTTCAAGGTGTGGTAGCACACACCTTCAATCTCAATGCCTGGAGATATAGGGTGTGGTGGTACACACCTTTAATCCCAATGCCTGGGAGGCAGAGGCATATTGACCTCTGTGACTTCAAGGGACAGAGGTAGAGGTTGACCTCTGTGACCTCAAGGTGTGGTAGTACACACCTTTAATCCCAATGCCTGGGAGGCAGAGCAGACAGGTCTCTGTGAGTTCAAGGTGTGGTAGCAAACACCTTTGAACCCAGCACTGGGGAGGCAGAGACAAGTGGATCTCTGTAAGTTCAAGGACAGCCTGGTCTACAGAGTTATTCCAGGACAAAGATATATAGAGAACCTGTCTCAAAAAGTAAAAGTAAAAATAAAAGATATAGAGGTTAAAGTAAAGCCACATAAAGATGGAAAATATACAGAGAATCTTAATACTGTATGCTATTATGCTCTCTTTGAATTGTTTGATTGTTGAGGAAGGAGCAACAGCTGCTAAAAGACTTTTGTTTATAAATGCTGCTGAACTAACTCAAGATAGGTATTTTGAAAATACCTTGGCTTCAAAACTGAAGTCAAAAGGTATGTTACTTTGGAGAAGAGATTTTGCTTTTGTTTCCACACAAAATGAGAGGTTGTGAATTCATTCTGAGTTAAGAAAAATCCAGTATGATCAAGGAAGGCCACCTGAAAAATCTCCAACAGGAACAGGTGGTTCAGATGTCTGAGTTCTTCATCCAGAACAGGTTCAAGACTGCTGCCTGAGATGATCAAGACTCACAGGATACACCAATCAGGACTTGATAACTCTAAATTTTCTTTAGGTCCCCATAAGATCATCAACGCCCCCAACCAGCAGGAAGTAGCCTGAAATACTATGCCCACATTCCCAACAAATGGACTATGGGTATTTTCCTTTGTTTAAAAAAAAAAGAGGGAGATGGTGTGGGAAAATTGTCTGTATTCTGTCAATCATATTTTAATAAAACGCTGATTGGCCAGGCAGGCAGTATAGGTGGGAAAGCCAGACGGGAAGTAGGGGTGGAGCAAAGAGACTGGGAGTATTCTGGAAGCAGAAGCTCCCTCTCCACTCCTGCGCAGACCACCGAAGAGGCAGGATGTAAACTGCCCAGCTGAGAAAGGTACTGAGCCGTGTGGCTGACGTAGATAAGGATAATGGGGTAAAATAAGTTATAAGAGCTAATAAGTAGCCTGACCAAATGGGCCAATCAGCTTTATAACTTATAGAGATCTCTGTGTGGT